TTCAGGTAGGTTGGGGATGACGGAGGAATGATCACGCAAACTACTCGTATAAAATATTTCTGAGGATTGACCAGAAAAATATTCCGGTGGTTTTTGTGAAATGAAGTTAGGGTTCAGTCCTAATAAGCCTTGTAGTAACATTTCTATTTTATTTTTCTGCATGGGTTGATAGTCATAAACAAAGGTGACCCTTTCGAGGGGTGATAAAAAAGGTTAGTGCTGGGCTAAGCCAGCCTGGTATAAGTGATAGCACGGCCAGGTTGGGTCTGATTTTGTCTGTGAGAGACCTAAAGTGAAGTCTGCTCAAAAGAATGGGGCTCCCTAACCCCAACCATGTCATGTGGACTCCTTCTGGCTGTACTGATCCACCAACTTTCAATGAGTCTCCATCTGTCATCTGAAAAGAGGGACGACTCTGCTCATGACCAGATCTAATGATCACTGCTCACTGGAGAAAAAAAGTCTTATCTCGGTGAAGGTGTTAGCTCACTTTTTAACCGTCGGAGTGGAGTCGTTATACAGTTAAACGAGTTTGCTCCTTGAAACAATCTTTTAGACCATGGACTAAAGAGACAACCCAAAAGAGCTCATAGCAACCTTTTCCGGTTTTCCTCAGACTCAACGATCTCGTAATCTCAATAAAATAAATTAACCTTTTTGTAGCTCTAACTCTTCAGATGGCACTAGCTAGGGTTAACACGTATTCGTATAAGAGTACTGGTGGCAGACAGGAGGCGCCCGAGTTGTCAATTATTGTGTCGTCTTGATCTTGATCTTCAACGGGGCCGAGTCAAATCGCTTGTTGCCGAACTTACCGAGTCTTAGTGGTGATGTTTGGCATTGATGATAGATTTTTTGAAAATTACTGTCAAGCCACATCAGCATTATAGGAATAGCCGTTGAAATTTTTATTGGGTTGACCGATTTTAGTGATTTTCAATAAATTTATCAAAAATCGATTCTTGATATAAGTGTAGAGGTATAAATCGGGCCGTGCCGCCCGTGGTTTAGCATGAACTTGGACCGGTTTGGCATGATGGTCCACGGGCTGTGTCAGGCTCGGCACGACCATGTGGGCCATGTTGGGCCTGGGGTTTTAGGTCCACGGGCTGGCACGGCCCAGCCCATAGCCTGGCCTAGCACGACCCATATATATATATATATATTTTATATATAGTTATATAATATTATATAAATTATAATTATATAATAATATGTAGTATATAATATATTAATAAAGCAAATATTTTTTTAAATTTTATTATACGAATTTATTTAATTATTGCATATATAAGCAATTTTATACACAAAATTAATATAAAATTAAAATTTTAAGTTTTTTGTCAATTTTTTTAAATAAATAGCTTTGGTCTGATGCACAGCCTGACCTGGCCCAAGGCTCAGCCCACGGGCCAGCCCGACCTGTGGCATGGCACAAGCCCATACGAGCTTGGGTTGTGGACCGTGTCGGGCTGACCCCCAAATTTTTCATCGGGGAGGGCGACACGACCTGTGACAGCTTGCGGGCCAATACGACACGGCCCACACTTTGCACAGGCCACCCACAGGCCGTGCCATGCCGGGCCAACACGACATGGCCCACACTTTGCGTAAGCCATCCACATGCCAGACTAGCACGGCCCACTTTATACCTCTAAATAAGCCCTTTTCAAAGAATCATTTTTTTTTTATGATTTCTTGATTTCTAGATAATTCCATTTTTTTTTTTTGAGTATGACATGGCATTTAACATGGCACTGTATAATAAATCTAATACAAAAACAATTGGCCTAAGAATGAGTGTCAAATTGATTCAAAGCCAATTTCTCAAAAATCAATGTCAAATAACAAAATTTACCAAATTTTGAAAAAAAAAAATACTGATTTAAACATCACCAATTTCTAAAATATCATCATCGATGTCAAACATCACCTAAGATACTAGTATCCATCATAGTTATAGAGATTCTCGACTCTTGTTACTAGATACATGAGAAAAAAAAAAATTCAGAGACGTGTATTGATGGATATGCAGGGATGAAGTGTGGGAGAAGCCAGAGCCAAAATTAGATAGACCTAACCTTGCCTTCCATAGGGTTGAGAGTCGTACCCAACTCCCAGACAAACTTGCAATCCTAGTCCGTGAATAAGTGAAAGTGTTTGAAATGGGCCTCCACCAGCGATTATTCCTTATTCTTTTCGGTTATTTATTGTATGCTCTTATATCTTCATTACAATCATATTTGCATTTATTATTTTACGTTTTAACTAAATAAAATATTTTCTCCTGTTGAAAATTGATGTTCTTCCTGGTTTTACAACAATCGTGGGCCTGGTGGGCCCGGCATCATTGGAGATTAGTTTTGTTTATGGCCCCCACCCACAACCAAGGGTTCTTGTCTTGTCTGAGTGAGGTTCGTTTATATTCTGCACCAGATTTATTTCCGTCTTATAGAAGAAGTAGAAGGAAATTAAGTGGTCCGGGTTCCAGCCTTTCTACATTTCTTTCTTATATTTACATAAATAAGCTACACAATAGCAATTTTAACTGACCATATAAAGGATGGGGACACGTGGACCTCAATTCTGAGTGGTCCCACCTAGAGGATATATCGGCTAATTTGAGATCAATACTAAAATTCATTTCATAAGAAAAAGAAAAGTAATTCAGATCGGATGGTGGTGATCATTCGATCAGTTTTCACCACCAAATATATACTTTTATACTCCCAGAGCAGTAAGCAAATGCCTCACACTTTTGTAGGCAGTGTATGACTGACTACCTTGAGATCATAATAGTAAATAATAACCGACCATGCATGAAGTACCTGGATGCGGATGCAGATGCACATTTACGGTCTAAAAGCTAAGATGTTTTGATTCAGAAGAGTCAACGGTCAGATTGAATTCGGTAATTTCACAGCCATGGATGGTGACGCACAAAAGTCTACAAATTGGACAGTTTCGGCCGTCTGATACTCTGATTCCGTTGATTTGACCCTGTGAACAACGTTGCATGACCTCCCTTTGTTGTGGATGCTGGTATATATATTGGTTGCTAATAGACCGCATTTTGTGGTCTATAATAGAGATTCCTTTCTTTTGCCCATTCTTCCGCTAAGTTCGTTGAATACAAATATGTGGCGGTACATTCTTCACTCACGTTCACGTAGCTATCGGTCAAGTTTGATAAAAGAAACAAAAAGAAGAAAAAAAATTACATTGGAAAAGGGTTTCTAGACGGGTTTGTCACTTTGTCCACGTAATCCCGTTGCTACACGGTCCCTTTCTCTTTCTCATTTGGATGGACAATATCATTTTTCTCTTTTTTTTTCCCTTTTTTTCCAATTTTTTTTTTTTAAATAAAATGTAAAACTAGCACTAGTACTAATAGGGCTCCAAGCAACGAGTCAGTTTCAGCCGGCCGGGCCCATAAGTTACCGAAACCGGTCTTCAGGCCCCACTCTCCAGAATGAAAGGTGGTGGTTCTACACCTAGACGGCTGGACTCGCCAAATTACTGGAACCTATCATCAGGTCTGTGGAATTTGATATTGGATTTTCTCTTTTCTTTCCTCTAAAATTCAATTTAGTGAGATTTATTGCTTACCAGGTACTCGTTGATTGGGACCGGAGTTGGACCTGATTCCTAATGGGTCTTCAATCCTGAATTGGACCCTGTAATTTTTGGGTCCAAAATTTACACGCCATATATAGGATGGTTAATGTCATTGCTTGAAGACTTGTCTAGAAAACCATCATCAGTGTTTACTTAAACACTGAACATCTCTCTCTCTCTATATATATTCCAATTAAGCATGGGACCATGGATGTCATAAGAATAGGATGCATGGATTCAACTATGGGACATATCATGACCTCTACCATGCCAATGATCAAGTTGGACGGCCATAATCGCCCATTACCGACAGAACTTTAGTTGGGAATGAGAAGTGAAGCATCATTTGTTTTTTGCCCCATTTTCTTTTTTCAAATTTAATTTTTGGAGTAAAAATGGGGAGGGGTCCATATGGGGGTGGTCCTAGACTCCTAGGCTTCCATGTGTATGTACAAAAGACTTTTTTTTTAATTTTAATTATTATTATTATTATTATTATTATTATTATTATTATTATTATTGTTATTGTTGTTGTTATTGTTATTAATGCATGTACAAAAGACTATTGAGTACACTATGTATTGCATTGCACCCCACCCACCTAAAGATAAAATCAAAACGAGTTGTTGGATAGTTTTGATTAATTAGAAAACTATTTTTTTTTTTGTTCTTTTTATCTTAAAATTTATGTATATATAAATACATACATATATAAATAAAGTGCTTCCTGTTGACGTTTTGTGAATATTGCATGTTTCATAAGTTTTAAGTAGAAGCAGTGGTGGGGGTCCATTGTATATTGCTCTTTTGCCTTGCATATCAAGTAACCCTCCAATTCACCTCTCTCTCTCTCTCTCTCTGCAACTGTCATGGCAAAAGAATCATGATTTCAGCACACCAGCTCAAACACCATGTGAGTTCCTTATCATATTTTTCATCTCTGGTGTTTCTATTTTTAGCAATCTCTGTCTCTGTCCTACTGTCCATTACAGACAAGTCTCCTTATAGTAGATAGAAAACATTTCATTAATATAATTTTAATTCAAAAAGAGAGAAACAGTTAAATTTTCTTGTTCATCTCAAACATTCTGGGGTTTACTCCTCAATATTATGACAGTGTGTATTTCTTTAACAGGTAAAAGCTTTCAACTTCTGAGCCAATAAAAAAAAAGAAAGAAAAGAAAATGAATTATCACCCTTTTTGGTAAAAGATGAATTATCACCTTTCGTAAACTCCTTTTTCTACTCTCAATATGCCAACTATTGTTATTTATTTTCAATATTTAACCAAGAATATATAAATATATATAAACATTAATAGGTTTGTCATGCTTTTGATTGTATGTCGATCGCCTGAGTAACAGCTGTGAAGGCCGTTTCTTGCTTTTGCTTTAGTAGTCAAGGCTACAAAACAAAGTTGCAGGGGGGCTATATAGCTTTAGAAAACAGCTGGGTTTTCTTTCACTCTTCTCTCTCTCTCTCTCTTAACCGTCTACATGCGCTACTCTTAAATCAGCAAAGTCTTAAAGGTGGATGTTTGAGGGAGCACCTTTTCCTTTTTCTCATCGGCTTCAGTTAAAGTAGAGGGAACTCTGGTGTTTTCCATGGTTAAAGCGGGTTTATAGCTCAATTCCACAGTTACAGTTTCTTCTTTTGGCCTCTCCTATTTCCTTCTTCTCTGTCTCTCTCTCTTCACTCTCTCTTTCTCTCTCTCTCTCTCTCTCTCCTCTTCTGTCCAAATAATACAGAGGGTTCGTCTTCTTTCATTCTATTTCTGTTCCAATATTATTTTTTTTTATTGTAGGTTTTGTTAAATTTCCCGTTTAAGATTGGATTTGATTGTGCAAAAGTCGAAGGTTTCAAAAAATTTAGTTTGTACATGTATCTAGTTGGTTGTTTCTTCAAAGTTTGCCAACTTGTTACTTGGTTAATCTCTTAATATCACAAAAAAAAAAGAAAACTTTTAGTTTCTTCGTATTGAATTTCTCTGTTGTCATAGTGTTTCTAAGTCTTCTTCGAAAACCAATATTGTTTTCTTTTCTCGTCCTCTGCACCATCAAATCTCAGTTTGGGCTCAAACTCCATATTTCTATTGATTTGTATGCCTTCAAATCGGAATTCAGATGATATTCATTTCTTGCTGCTATTTTGGCGAGTTAGAGAAATAGAGAACTGGATCAGGAGGACCTGAATGAATGGACTGTGACAGAAAGATGAGAATTTCGTAACAGCTGAGAAGAAGAAAAACGGTCTCTAGTGTATGTTAAACAGCCATGAATAAGACTCACATAGGTTCCGTCAGCAGTTCTGATCTTATTGACGCGAAGCTTGAAGAGCATCAGATGTGTGGATCCAAGCAGTGCCCAGGTTGCGGACACAAGCTGGAACGAAAACCGGTACGGAGAACTAAAATAATAATAATAATATTCGTTTCTTGAACTGAAAGATTGCACATCGGAATCAAACAAGATAAGAATGATGCTAGGCCTTGATTATGATAAAATTTTGTCTTTAAGTTCACTGTTTCTCTGAATATCAAGTTACATGCTTCAAGGAAGATTCGTAGTGGTACACACAAATTTTAATTTGTTTTTTTTTTTTTTTCTTTCTGAATTAAATGGGTTTTGCAGGACTGGTTAGGTCTTCCAGCAGGGGTGAAATTTGATCCAACAGATCAAGAACTGATCGAACACCTTGAAGCCAAAGTTGAAGGCAAAGACTCCAAATCTCACCCTCTCATAGATGAATTCATTCCTACAATTGAAGGTGAAGACGGAATTTGTTATACTCATCCAGAAAAGCTTCCAGGTTAGAATATTTACGAGTTCATCATCATCTCTCTCCCTCTCTCTCTCTCTCTCTAACACAGGACTGTCAACTTTGGCAAAGTAGATCAATTAAACCTCTACAAGTTTGTCAAAGTTAATGGAAATTTCTCTCTCTCATCAAAAACTTATACTGGTAGCTCATTTCTTTTGTCTCCAACTCCACTGGAGATACAAATACAACTCGAAGCATGCTTGTATTGTTCTCTTGTATCATATTCTATCTTGCAAGTATAGATAGCGGTTACAGTTTGTTACACCTAAATAAACCTAACTTTGATTTTGGCGATGCTTTCACTTTCATTGCAGGAGTCACAAGAGATGGTTTGAGCAGGCACTTTTTCCACAGACCCTCCAAGGCCTATACTACAGGAACGAGAAAGAGAAGAAAAATTCAAACTGAATGCGATCTGCAGGGCGGTGACACCCGGTGGCACAAAACAGGCAAGACGAGGCCTGTAATGGTGAATGGCAAACAAAAAGGGTGCAAGAAAATTCTGGTCCTCTACACCAATTTCGGCAAACATCGGAAACCCGAGAAAACTAACTGGGTCATGCACCAATACCACTTGGGTCAGCACGAAGAAGAGAAAGAAGGAGAACTCGTGGTGTCGAAGATATTCTATCAGACACAACCCAGACAATGCAATTGGTCAGACCGGAGTGCAACCACCGGTGAGGGCAGTGGTGAACCTCATCGCAGAGACAGTGGTAGCGGGAGCTGTTCTTCTTCCAAGGATGTTAGCGCCCAAAGAGATGAATTATCCGGTGCTGGGTCTGTAATTTCGGCTTACAGTGCCATGGATATTCAACAAATGAAATCTGATCATTTTAGCTTCGGCCCATTCAGGAAAAGCTTCGATGAGGTACGTTCGTTCCTCTTGATCATTCAAACAGATAGCACAAAAGAAGGACAAGTTAAACGGGAAATTAATATAAACAAAGAAAATAAAAGAAAATTCATATCGATCGATACAGTTGGTTTTGGTTGGTAATCCAGGATACAGCACTTTCTTTACAAAACTGAGGGTGCAAAAGAAAAAAAAAAAAAAAGAAAGAAAGACAGGAAAACAAAACAACTATATTATTAATTGTGCTGCGGCATGAATATGATATCAAGATTACTATCTTTTATGAATCAAAAACTGAGAGAAAAAGTTTCAGATTGCTTTTTTTACACCAGTTGCTTGAATACACAGTATTCAAACTTATTATTATCATCTAACATAAGTTGATATGTATCAATGAATAAAAAGCCAAATCAAAGAAACATCGGTTAAACAGAAAGTGAGACCAAATAAAGAAAGAAAAGATGATAAAATGATAAGGAAATTGACTAGCTAGCAACTGTGTCTCATGGCCTGTTGGGTACAGGTAGGGATGGGAGAAGCTTCAAAGGCAAGAGAAGTCACAGCAGCTCGCACGTGCGAGGAGCACGATCATCAAGGCCTACATCAGATGACCCATGAACAACATCAACATCACCATCATCAGGTGGCCACGACAGCCTTCCATGTCAGCAGGCCTTCGCTTCCTCTCTCTACCATCATCTCTCCTCTCCATCACACTTCCATTGTTCTCGACGAAGACCCTTACCATGTCTCAAGAATAATCCTCCAAAATCAGCAGGTATTTGATCAAATTAAAATATTTTGCAGGAATAACATAACTCTTGGTTTTAGGCAGTTGACCCGGGTCAGCTGGTGCGAATGGTTTCTCTATCAGGGGTTACTCAAATATGTTTCGAGTGACTGAGCCCAGAAATGAACTCGTAATGGTTTTACTTTTAATAATAGACAAGTTGCACAAAGCAACTACTAGAGTCTGTAATTAAAACATATAAGCACTTAAATATATATATATATATATATATATATATATTCCTTTTCCTTATTTAATCCCTTTTCTTTTAACTGAATCAATTTAGTATTACCAGCAGCAGCAGCAACATAAGCTGGGAGGAAGGTCTGCATCTGGTTTAGAAGAAATGTTGTTGGGTTGCACTTCAACAGACATCAAAGAAGTAAGTTTGGGTTTTCTGTTTTCTTTTCTTTCTTCTATTAGGCATGTTTGTTGGCATCAACCCACATGCATAGTAGAAAACTAGCTAGCTAGTTGCCTTGGGTTTGATAAACAAAGAAGACTAGAGCTTTCTGTTTAAATGAATAAAAAAAGAATGCTGAAGAATAGCCTAAAATGGAATGATTTAAAGCATTAAAAATGCAGTTTTCCTTCTCCCTTGGTTATTCAGTAAAAACATACAAATTAAGTTGAAAAATAAGAAAATGTTGGATTTCTTCTTTTACTAGGAACCTTATTATAGAAACAAAAGGAAGAATTTTTTTTTTCTTTAATCCTTATTGATAAAAAGTTGTATTTTTCCAGTATATAAACAAAAGCATGATCCAACCAATAATTTCAGAAAAAGCAAAATATATGGAAACAAAACCTATCAATTATCGAAAAAGATAAAAACGGATAAACATAAACAGTATTAAATCATTAATTTAAGAAAGGCAAAATATATGAAAACAGAACCCGTCAATTTTTGGAAGAAGATAAACCTTGCCTTTCTCTTTCAGGAATGATTTAGGCGCATTCCATTTTTGATAAACCGGGCACATCCCTAGTAAAGAAGACCCAATAAAACTACTGTTGGTAATGACAAAGGTCAAAACTTGAGGGTGTTTTTTGTCTTTTAACATGTGAACCTTTTGACTGATCATTAGGGATGTTTTTGCTTTATAAAAATGGGATTTGTCTAAATCACTCTTCTCGTTTTCATTTTGAACATAAAAAAAAGTTAAAAAAAAAAAAACTATAGCTTTTCCTTTTTCTCTTGTCTTGTGGGCTGTTCGTTTTAGATTAATTTGGCTACTAATCAGAACAGGAATACAATCAGTTTTTAAAATAAAAGGAAAAAGGAAAAGGGGTAGAGAAGCTTTTCTCATGTGTCATGGCAAATTAACAATTAAGAAGTGAAATTAAATAGCTAATTGGGTTTCGAGGAAGGGGGAAAAAAAGAAAAGATAAAGATAAAGAAAAGGCTTTCCTATGTCTGGACCTGTAACTTGTATTAACAAGGGAAAAAAATGAACGACAAATAAGCCCAAACGAAAATTGAAAGTGGAGAGAGAAAGACAGAAAAGAGGGAGGAGGAGGAAAGACAAGGGAAAACAGCTTTTTTTTGTATGCAGTTTTGCAGCAATATGTGTCCTAAACCTATTTCTCATGCTTCCATACATGCATTGTAATTGCAGGAGTCATCCATCACAAACCCACAGGAGGCAGAATGGCTGAAGTACTCCTTCTGGCCAGACGCTGGCAACCCGGATCATCATGGGTAGGAGCAAATATATATAAAGGAAATAAACAAACCAAAAATCCCTAACAGACAACATCATGATCATCACCATCAATACCTAAAAACCCTGCAGCACTTTTGGAGAAGAAGCCAATAACCCTTATAGGGTATGTTCTTTTTCTTTCTTTTCTAGGTGGTAGGATGGGACTGATGAATGAGCAAAACTAACTGTACAATAATCAATGCGGCAAGGAAAGAAAGAACAAATGAAGAAAAAAAAAAAAAAGGGAAAAGAGAGCAAGGCTGCTCTAGGTGACAATAGATGGAGAACCAAAGACCCAAAGCAAATCAATCATGCATGAAAATCATCACCATCATGATTATAAGATCATCTTTATTACTATTCTTACTATTCATTTTATTATTTTAATTTCTCTGTATAATTTCTTTTCCTTGTTTTCATACAAAAAACCGAAGGAGTTTGTGCAAAAGAAACTGTCTGCTGGTTGTTGTGTTTGTCACTTGTCTAATGCTATATAGATTACAGAAGGTGGAGTGTTAATTTTCTTTTTTCTTAAACTTCTTTCTTACCTACCCATAGGATATGACTTGGGTCCATTTCATTTCCACTTTCGAGAATTGAGATCTATATTATTTTTACTTGTTTATTTCATCTCTGCGTCGCTTTCTCCACATCTTTCCATATGCAAGGGGAAATGTGGGGCACTCTTTGTTTATGGTTGCTGTAATGAATTTTGTTGCAAATAATACTCTAGACAGTGAAAAAGGAGAGTTCTCATGAATGGTATGCTACTATGTGACTACTCCAAGGTTATACCATTAGCCTGGGACCCCTCAAACCTCAAGTTTAAACAGATCAGACGGCTGGGAGCTCTTACACAAATAACATTTTTTTTTGTTCAAGCGCTTTTAGAAACATTAATGATTGATCGTATATAAGATGATCTCTTCCTGGGTAAATGATGTTAACAAAATGAATTTGAGAGATACAACATCTCCTGTCTGTTAATTGTTCCAGATTGATGTAACTGTATTTTTTTAGACTTCAATTTTGGGTTAGTGTTGCTATCTTCCTAATTTCTGTTTTATAGAAAACTTTATTTTAATCGGCTGTAATTAATCTTAGATACATAACATCGTGTTTGGAAGCGTGTGTGTTTTTTGGGACTGATTTTCAAGAAAAAATACACATGCTTTTAAGACCCGTTCTACCACATTGGTAGTACGCTGACAAGTACCTCATAGGATATACACCAGTCAACCATGTTTTTCATGTATGCGCTGACAAGTAAGCACCTCATAGGATATACACCACTCAACCATTGGGAGAAATGGTTCACCGACACATGAAATGCCAATGCATCGGTGGGGTCCCGATTTTCGAGGCATGCTCGATTTTTAATAATCGACTGAATCAATCAATGAGATACATGGGCATTTATTGAAATGCCTATGTGGATCCAACGTGGCACCGTTTTTTTGAAAAACGGTCATGGTTCCAAACATCCCCTAAGAATGTACATATTATTAGCAATGCATATATATATTTTTGGGCAAGATGATGGTTGCTATCATGCTGTCTATATCAGTGCATTTTTTTTAAATAAAATATATAATTATAATTGACAATTTTATCAAAATAGATTTAAATATATTCAGATATATTCAAACCTAATATATATATGTGTGTATGAGTGAAATTTTATGATGCTAGAAACACATGATATCGCAAAGGCTTTGACAAAATAACCCCTGATGAATTTTGATGAAAACCCACATGATTGGTTATAATTTTTTTTTCCAGTATCATGTTTTTCGAGCATCATAGTCGAATATAGAGTGATGATCCCTGCCGGGCAGATAATGTTCTCCCCATCCTTGCCCATCCTTAATTGCCAATGGGAATCTCCCCATCTCAGTCCCTGTGTGGGGAAACTGGTCCCCATGCATCCCCACCCGATTCGATCAAGGCAGGTCCCCGCCTGGATGGAAGAAATTGCCATCTTTAAAAGCATGTAGAACATACTACATGCTCCAATCACAAATTAAGCATGCCAATTGCTTGTATGTCTGATACCAGTATGAATTGTTGAGGCGTTTGTTTGTGATTGGGGTGTGTAGCATGTTCATCTTAATGTCTCTAGCAGATCTCAACCGATTGAAGAAAAGAATTATCCGGTACCGGTAGGATGATAATTGATAAGGTCATCAAGAGATTCATTGGGGGAGGCAGATCCGAGGTCAGGATCTCTAAAGACATTAGATGCTCATATTCGATCCTTAGTGCAAATAAATTTGCATTAGTACAAATGCATGGGAGTGCGCAAATGTAAAAAATACAAATTCTTCAATTTTGTTTTAAATTTTACTTTATTTTGCTTCATGTCTTAATTTACTTCATTTGTACTGTAATCAAACAAAATAACTTAAATTTTGAAATAAAAATAAGTTAGAATTACACTAAAATCGTTTACACTGTCATGGTTTTACAGCATCAGTACAAATTTATTTGCATTGCAATCAAACACAGCCTATATATGCTCTTGATATTGGGTTTGGTCGCCGATTCTACAAACATTGTCTGTAATAGATCTAGAGTCTAATTGATAAGGAGAACGTCAGAGCTTGCATTGGTGTCTTTGGTTTGACCAGCAAGACTGTACCCAGGAAAGGTCGAATGTCTTATATATTAATATTATCGTGCTCTTGAGCTTTGGCTGGGGGAGTGGGCTGATCGTTTAAATATGGTTCCTTAGGCTGGAAATGCACGCCGAGAATAGAATGCTCTGGTAGATATTGTAGTAGCTGGGGAGCAATGGCACCTGTCACTGATACATTATCATCAGATATCCTTACAGAGCACACTCGACAGTACTGATTAGGCGTGATATTTCCTCCCTTTGCTACAACTGGTATTAACCCGGCTGCAAGTAATCTCTTTGATCTATGATCAGCTTTCTTCTACCATATTTGATGAGAAAACACAAAAAAAAAATAAATAAATAAAGTTATAGAAGAGAAAGGCAAAGTTAGCTCCTGATGAATTCAAGATTTCAACGATCGATGACCCAGTTCTGTTTATTGTCGTTCTTTCTTTTCTTTGTTCGTCATCCTAACTACAGGGATCATGTTGATAAGCGTAGGCATCCCCCCTCCCCCCTCTCTCTCTCTCTTTCTCTGTGTGTGTGGGGAAAGAAAGTTATCTTTTGCTTGATATAATGTTGGTGAAAGTCGGCTTGGTTGAATTAAAGCTTCTAGCTAGGTATATATAGAGAGTCCCTATTCTCCACATGATAATAAATTAATGATATTAGTAACAGAAGTCGCATTCTAAGCACTTGCAATTGTTTTCTCTTACTTAATTACCAAAGAGATCGAAGCTCTTTATAGCTTTATATATTCTCTTCCATATTCGAGAGCTTTTTCAGAGTTGTAGTAGCGCAGCAGATAATGAGGATGAGCCTAACGGCTCTAACCGAACAACCCAGCAAGAAACTTCCACGTAGTTGCTTAGGTGGCTGCTGCTCAGAGGAGTCCAAAGGGCCCCTTATTCATAGCTCAAGTTTCAGCTAGCTAGCCCCACAATCTTTGCCCGACGTTACAAATAAAAACGATTTTTATAATTAATTTATTATTTATATTTAAATTTTGAACTCAACTGCTAGAGAGAGAGAGAGAGAGAGAGGGGGAGGGGGACTGAATAACTTTTCTTTTATGAGACGTGCATGAAGGAAAGGTAAAAATCAACATGGGGAGGGGCATCTTCAGTGTAATTTCTCAAAGAGAGAATAAAGGGTCCGAACAAAGAGAGGACATCAACATACTTTATACCGAAATGACTAAGCTCTCCTGTGCCTCTGGGAACGCTGACTTGTTTAGAAAATTTAAGTACGTAGTTCATCAGTTCTAACTGATAAATTGGTTACCTATCTTCACATTAATTACAAGATTAATTTGTTCTCTCCAAAAAAGAATAATACCAGTGAAGCAATCAAAAAGATTTGAATATGCGAATTTATCTTCTCCAGCATCATCGATCTTAGATTCAATGTTAGACAAGCTATACCATGCATCTTTTTAGGACAGAATAATCAAGCCAACGACGATTTAGGTTCATGGATTACAAATACTAGATGAAATAAATCATCACAATTCTTGGTTATAGGTGGTATTCGATTATTATATATAAATACTTGGAAATTAAAGGTGAAAATTTGCTATTGTTGTCAAGGAGATTTGAGTCCTTTTGCATTTGCCTTGGAGAATCTGTTAGGCAGTTTAGATGCTTATCTGGATTAGTGTGATCGAGCTCAAATAATAATTAAACAAACCAAAAGAGAAAATTAAAAATCTTAAAAGGGAAAGTGGGAGAGAATAGAATGTGAGGGGGGAGAGGGAAGTGTCTCTTTCCAAATGCAATAGGAAAAAGGGTTACATGTCATGTTTGTTCAACCTAAAAAGTTGATATTCATGTCTTTCTGCTTTTATGGAAGATTTGGAATGCTTTTGAAGTAGGAGATTGTTAGCACAGTTTGGGTTTCCTCTTGTACAGATTTGGTCCCATAAAGAACTTGCATGAGGAATTGTTTAGTGCGAGGGGGAATATCACAACATGGCCACCTTTCTTTAGATTCTACAAGTGCTAGCTGCTTTTCAGATCGCACCCAACTTCTTAGTCTTTAGCTTCTTTTTCCCCACCTCTGCTCCTCTGCTCCTCTGCTCTAGCTATATGTGTATGAGCTCAACAGAAGAAACTTGTGCAAGTTAACTTTCATTAGGTTAATTAGTTTGTTGGTGCTTGTAATGGCTGACCTTCTCTTGTGTACGTAGTGTACTGTGACTGACTGTGTATGCGTGCATATATCCATCCTTCTTCGGCATGTCGAGGCATGGCTTTCCGTATCTGGTTTCCTTCACTGATGAACCACAATGAAGCATTAAAATTCCTCTTCAAAGTTTGAGCCTGGTATTCCATTGCACTTAGTTCTACCTTGACTCATTATAACCTTGACTATATATCGATCACTGTAGTCCTCACTTTAGTTTCAAGCCATTTGATTTGAGTTCAACTAGTAAACCTTATTGGAGACCTATTAGGGAAAATAATTGTTCCCGTGGTTGTCAAACTGGCCAAGGGCGCCACATGGCGGATTCTGCAGCTGCCCTCTTCGGATTGTGTCACCATCGTCACCCAAAATCACGTGACTGAAGAGCGTGACCAATAAGGAGTGTCCCACACAAACAAGACATTGGACTCACACTGGGGAAGAGGGAATCCCCCGAAAACCTCGGCGGATGATCTTATCCCAACAATCCTAGAAGTCCAATTCAACCAGAATACAAATGTTTAGTTATAAATAGGCATTCCCCGCTCGAGATAAAGGACTTTTAACTCTCTATTCACTTAGCACTTCTTCATGTCATCTCTTCAGTTCGGAACTAGCATTGTCTCAATCTACTCATCCCGGCCAACGCTTTTACCCTACTAACTTGAACATTAGAGTGCCTACCTAGAGAATAACTCCTCGGGCCTCTAACTTTTTCTGTGATTCTAGGTCTCGGTGTGCAGCTTTATCATTTCACCTCGGGTTCATCCAATTGGCAAGACTTGATTCAAAATACCTCAAATCAGGCAACATCAATAATGGGTTTCATTTGATATTCAATAGAGTAGTTTGGTATTAGGGAAAATTACCATGGTCTGCTTGGTTCAAAAGAGTTCTCTAGACAGCTGCCTCAAGCTTTAAAATTGCTACTTATCAAAAGATATAAAAAAAAAGATTTAAGTTAATTAAAATTGCTGCAAACTTCTATTTTTTAATTTCACAACAACAAAAAAAAAGATTAACAATGAGATAATTATATTTTAATTAGTAATTACCATCGGCCACTTGTTTAAATTAGAAAAAAAAAACATGGGCCATGTT